AAGGGGAAGGGGTCCCTATGTCCGTGTGTGTGACCATGGACCCTGCTTCCGCACCTGGGGGGGAATGGGCACAGGGTCCCCGTGCCCATGTGTGTGACTGTGCCCCGCGCCTGCCCCCCCAGAAGCTGCAGCAGGAGCTGGAGTTCCTGGAGGTGCAGGAGGAGTACATCAAGGACGAGCAGAAGAACCTGAAGAAGGAGTTCCTGCATGCGCAGGAGGAGGTCAAGCGCATCCAGAGCATCCCCCTCGTCATCGGCCAGTTCCTGGAGGCCGTCGACCAGAACACGGCCATCGTGGGCTCCACCACAGGTAGCACCATGCGCGGGAGGGCGGGGACCGGTCACCGCTCTTGGTCTGGGGGCACCGCAGGGGCTGGCAGCGTCCCCCTGCTCCCTTACCCTGGGCCCTGGCACATGATGCGAATTGGAGTCCATGCCCCGGAGCATGATGGGAGCTGGAGTCCACATGGCCTGGCAAGATCCAGCCCTGGGTGCTGAGGGGCGGCGCTGAGGCACGTGTTGGGAGCAGTTGCCACGGGCCTGCATGGCTCTGACTCAGCTGTCGGGCTGGGAGCAGTGCATCCTGGGATGCCAGAGGACTGCCCAGTGCTTGTTCTGTCTCTGTGGGAAAAGATCAGGGTCTGCCTCGCGCAAGCTGGGCAGCTCAGCACAGCATTGGCCCTGGGGGGCTGGGTCATGGGCACCCCCAACGTGGTCTGAGCAACCCCCTGGCCTGTCCGCAGGCTCCAACTACTATGTGCGGATCCTGAGCACCATCGACCGGGAACTGCTGAAGCCCAACGCCTCGGTGGCGCTGCACAAGCACAGCAATGCGCTGGTGGACGTGCTGCCCCCCGAGGCTGACAGCAGCATCATGATGCTCACCTCTGGTACGACCCCTTCCCTGCCATCGGGTGGGCTGTAGGCAGGGGTGGGTTCTAGGTGCCCTTGGTCTGGCAGGAGATGCAGCCAGTGCCTCTGCCCTGCTCCAAGGTGATGGGGGCTTTGGGGTGTATGCCCTATGTTTGAAGTGAGGTTGGGCAGCCCCGGTAGGCAGGGGAGTACAGGGGGCCCCAGGGCAGCCATGCTCAGCAGTCCGGCCTGTGCATGTAGACCAGAAGCCGGACGTGATGTACGCGGACATTGGCGGCATGGACATCCAGAAGCAGGAGGTGCGCGAGGCTGTGGAGTTGCCGCTTACCCACTTCGAGCTCTACAAGCAGGTAGGGGCAGAGACCATGACCCCGCTGCTGGGGGAGGCTAGGGGTCCTAGCTCCACTGCTCTAAGGGGGTCTCCCAAATGGCTCGGAGAGGATCCCTGCTACTGTGCCTGCTCCTACCAGTCTGGAGAGTTGTGCAGGGGAGTATGGGCACTTAGTGGGGCCTGGTGGATTGGGGGCCAGCATGGGGAAGGCTCTGAGCCCCTGGCAGCAGGTGAAGTGCCCCAGCAGCATGGTGTTGAGGGGGTCCCCTGTGTCTGGGCCTAGTGGGGGCGCAAGGCATGTCTAGTGAGCCCATCAGTGATCCTCTGTAAGCTCGCTGCTCTGCCTCGTGCCTTTTCTAGATTGGCATTGACCCCCCGCGAGGTGTCCTGATGTATGGGCCCCCTGGCTGCGGCAAGACCATGTTGGCAAAAGCCGTGGCTCATCATACTACAGGTGAGCAGATGGGAGGAGGGCCTCTGGGCTAGGCAGATGGGCCTGGGGGAGACGTGTGTAGCTAGTGCTGCTGGAGCTGCTCAGCCCCAGACTGCTGGAGTCTTCACGTTGGTGTTGGGAGAGTTGGTTTATGCTGATGACTGAGGTACGGGCTGACTTGCTGTCTGTCTGCTTGTGCAGCGGCATTCATCCGGGTGGTGGGCTCGGAGTTCGTGCAGAAGTACTTGGGCGAGGGGCCACGCATGGTACGGGACGTCTTCCGCTTGGCCAAGGAGAACGCACCTGCCATCATCTTCATCGACGAGATCGATGCCATTGCCACTAAGCGCTTTGATGCCCAGACCGGGGGTGAGCTGGGGCTGGGGGTAGGGGGCTGTGGGGCCTTCATACCAGTGAGGAGGGCAGAGCCTCTACTCCTTTCCTGGGGACAAGACCCTCTGCGTGGGGCATTGCACCGAGTCTCTCTTGCTTGGCCTTAAGCAAGTTATTTATGAGATTTGGAAAACACTTCTTGGGGAGAGGGCTCAGGGTTTACGCTGTAATGGAGGAGGGGACCGAGATAGCAGCAGGGAAACTGCTTCCCTTGAGCACCCTGTCCTCCCAGAAACCCAGAGCTGCAGGGCTGGCAGGGACGTGCAGAGGATGCGACATCTAATCCAACCCATGCCTGGGACAGGATCAGCCCTATCCGAAGGAGCCCCAACAAGCCCCATGTCTGACCTTTGAGCAGCACAACACAGTCACCCCTGACACAGCTCTAGGCATCACCCCCAGCCCTACCCCAGGGAAAGCAGGGGAGTTGCAGCTGCCAGCAGCCTGCTGCTGTAGGAGGTTGTTAACTAATACTCCAGAGTGCCCAGGCCATGCTCCTGCTGCAGCAATAGCATACAAAGTTGTGATCAGACCTATAGTCTGACACCTGGATACCAGGGAGGCAATACAGGCCTCTAGCCATGGAGCAGGAATTGCACTCCAGTGCAGCGCAGGGCTCTGGCACCACCTCTGTGCTTGGGGGTCAGCAGAGCTCCAGCCGGGGGGCACAGAAGCTCCTGCCAGGACTTAGAAACTTTCTAGAGCCTTAGAAATCTCTGTTGAAAACCTCGCTGGCAGGTGCTGTGCTCTTCCGCTCAGTTGGCCCCTTGCTAGAGTGGAGCAGGAACTGCAGGCACCTTGCTCAAGCGCAGGGTGCAGTTGTCCCTGTCACATCCTCTGAGCATCACCTGATGCCATCGCGGAGCCAGGTGTTGGGGTACCTGGGTCCCCCCATTCTGCCCCCGTGTCCCCCCTATGGGTTTTCTTTCCCTGTGCTGCTCTGTAGCCATGTCCAGGGCCTGGGGGCAGCAACTCAGGCCTGGCTCAGCGAGGAACTTCAGGACCAAGGGGTCCCTGCAAACTCAGGGGACCTGACTCAGCCATGCCCCCAGCCCCGTATCCCACCACTTGCCCGGGCCACATGCCACTGCTCTGTGGAGCAGGGTCCATGGACACGGGCTGCAAGGACAGTGGTGGCATGGGCTGGCGCTGCCCCACACCTGCTCATCCGTGGCCTGTCGCTGTCCCCAGCTGACAGGGAGGTGCAGCGCATCCTGCTGGAGCTGCTCAACCAGATGGACGGATTTGACCAGAACGTCAACGTCAAGGTGCAGCCTGGGACGGATGGGAAGGGAGGGGAGGGGGGCTGAAGGGTGTGGGAGGGGAACTGGGGAATGGCAGTTGGGGGCTGAGGGGGCAGGGTGGGGGCCGTGACCATAACCATTCCCACCCGGCCCAGGTGATCATGGCAACAAACCGGGCAGACACGCTGGACCCAGCACTGCTGCGGCCTGGCCGCCTGGACCGCAAAATTGAGTTCCCGTTGCCCGACCGGCGCCAAAAGCGCCTCATCTTTTCCACCATCACCAGCAAGATGAACCTGTCGGAGGAGGTGGACCTGGAGGACTGTATCCTTTGGGGACAGGGGCGGAGGTGCCTAGCTGCTGCTTTCCCAGGGTGGCTTGGCCCAGCACAGAGCCCTCCAGGGGGCAGGGCTGGCAAGAGTGATGAGGGGAGCAGGGGGAGGCTTCAGCGGCTGGGCAGAGATGGGTCTGTGGCACCCTCTCCTGCCTGGGCATGACAGCAGGGCCACACACTGCTGGGATGGGGCCTGGGTCCAGGGATGCTCCATTGCTTTGGCTGTGGGGGCCAGGCAGGGCCAGCTGCAGTGCCGGCATTTCCCTCACTCCCCACCCCCAGACGTGGCCCGGCCGGACAAGATCTCGGGAGCCGACATCAACTCCATCTGCCAGGAGGTGAGCACTGTGCCCACCTGCCCGGGGGGTTGGGGGTCCTGCTGCTAAAGGCCCCAGGCTGGTGCTGACAGGGCTCTGCGGTCCCAGGGGTCTGGGGTGGAGCTGCTGCGCAAGGACCCCTGACGCCCTTGACCCCTCATGTCCTCTGCATACGTGTTTCTTTGAGGGTGGGGGCTGTTACTGGGCCCAGGGGCAGCCCAGACCCACGGGGGGAAGCACATGTTGACCTCAGGGAGAGCAGGGCTGGCTTGGGCATTGCCCCCATGTGCATGTGGGGGCCAGACCGAGCACAGGCTGACACTGTGTCTGTGGCAGGGTGGGATGCTGGCTGTGCGTGAGAACCGCTACATCGTGCTGGCCAAGGACTTTGAGAAGGCCTACAAGACTGTCATCAAGAAGGACGAGCAGGAGCACGAGTTCTACAAATGAGCCACAGGGGCCGGGGGGGCATGTCTGGTATGTCGGGGATAAATAAACGGGTCCCTGCTGTGCCAGTCTGCTCTGCTCTGTTCCCAGGGCTGCCCTGTGGCGCCAGGCCTAGCAGCCCTGACTCCCTCAGCCTGGCCTCATGCCTGGAGCTGGTAGCAGAGGGCAGGGAGGAGGGCTCTTTGCCTGCTATCTTTCCCAGCTCTGGAGGGCATGTGCCTGGCCTGCCTCGCATGCATGGCAAGGGGAGTGTAACGCTCAGGAAAGCCATGTGAAGAAAGGAGTGTGTGGACTCTCCAGCTCTGGATGCAGCGTTTGGTCCAGCGAGGAAAGCACTCAGTGTGTGCTGCTCTGGGCAGTATCAGGCCGCTGGCAAAGCTGCTCTGACACACGAGCATGTCTTGGGTGTGGTGACTGTTCCCTTTGGAGAGAGGACATGGCAGGGCAGCCCCGCTCAGGCACCTGGAGCAACGGCCACAGAGCGGTCGTGCTTGTGTGTCTTTCTGGTCCTTCAGGCACTTGTGCGAGGCTGTGACTCCAGGCTGGACGTGACCTCAGGGCTCTGTGGGGCAGATGACCCTGTACATACAGTCCTGGACCGCTGTGTGAGGCCACAGCTCCAGCCTGCCTGGCCATCACACTGGGTTAGCCCTGGAAATGTGGGCACAGGTTGGCAAGCCCATCAGCTGCCTGTGTATTTTTTGGCAGGACAGAAAGAGCAATTTTTACCCAAAAAACGACATTTCTGTCAAGAAAACTGCTAAAACAATGTTATTTTTTTTTAGTTTTATTTTTATTATGTATATGTAACCCCCCTCCTGGCCCATGGAGCAGCAAGAGGCGGCACCCAGCAGGACCCAGATGTCTGAGAGCATGGCCATGCTGGGCCCAGCTCATCCTGTTTCCTATGGGGTTTTTAATGATCTGTAGTTTTGAATGTTTCTTCTGCAACAGGAGCGGGCACCAGAAGGGCTCTGAGCAGGCAGGGAGGTGTTTCTGCTGCTCTTACACCTGCTTCTAGGTCATGTAAGGGTGGCGATAGCGGTGACGATGGCTTGCCTGCAAGCCGGGTCGTGGCCGGTGCCCGATGAAAGACCTTCCAGTGTCAGAAGCACGTGTTGCTGCTATCACCATCCTTACTTGACTGAGGAGGGGAAGCAGGTGCAAGGAGGCCAAGAAGGCAGCAGAAGCACCTACCTCCATGCTCCCAGACTCCTGGGTTCCTCAAGGGGGTGGTTAGTGGGGCTGAGAGGAACCCCAGGGCAAAGTCCAGTCCAAGTCTGGCCTGAGACAGTAGGATCAGCCCTGTCAAGCTCAGGACCACCCCCCC